GGGTTTTTCTAATTACTTTACTCACTCATGCCCCAAAATTAGTACAGGTATTTTTAACTTATTTTTAAAAAGACCAAGAAATTTTAACATGTCATAAAGGAATCCTTCAGAGTTGAAATATTTTGTAATAGATTATTTTAGTCAGTTTGCCTGTGGGGTGTAGGCATGTATGTAGGTGGGGTGTGTGTGTGTGTGTGTAGGTGAAGGGTGATTCATTTGGCTGGGGCAAAAGTTGTTTCTATGGAAAATAATATAATAATTAATAATAATAATACAAGAATAAATTCTGTGTTTCGAGTACTCACAACTGTAAGTCTACTTTCGCCCCACCCTGATGGATATGAAAAGTACCCAGACTTCTACGTCTAGTCCCAACTTGATTTAGGATGAACAATGGCCTTCTGACTTGGCCTGGGAAATAACATTAAGTCTTCCTTTTAGTGTTATTGTCACTGCGAATTTTGAACTGAAAACAGACTCACTCTCAACTTACGGTCATTTCTCAACACCAAAAGAATAGAGAAAAATTAAAGGATTCTGCCAAGAACCTGATAAAATTGGTAATGGGTTATCCAAACATTATTTCCCCTATTTATTTTACAGGTATTTGTAGCTTTAGGGCAATCTGATATATGGAAGTCTACTATTTTTGAAGAGATGAAGTCAGAAGGGAGCCCTTCTAATTAAAATTGTATTCTGGGTCTCACAAAAGGGTTCACTGAAGGACACGTTTAAATAAAGAAACTCTTGGATGCTTTAGCATTTGTCTGCAGATTACTAAAGAGAAGTGAAGCTGGGCAAGCAGGGACAGGGGCCTCAAAGCTTAAATGTCACGGGACGTGTCCAGTCAAGATCAACAAAATAATACCAAAGATTTTATTTACACACACGTTTTTAAGCAACTTTAGTGGAGATCACCACGGCTGGGATAATACCTTCTACTTTTTCACTGCTTAGGATCAGTTCTTTGGATTGAATGGCAAAAAACTGTACCTTGAAGAGATGCTATGAATTGTGGGTGTCGGCATATCGCCTGGAGTATCCCCGACGGTGGTGACCTGGGTTCCGTTGCTTTTCACACAGGCATGTTCTGTGCAGACTTCCACCTGCAAGGAGTAGTTTAGAAAAGCATAAACCCAACTCCGTTCAAAATCCAGAGCGCCAGTGACTGGATCTCACCCACCCTCATTTCATATGAATCTCTCTACAGCCTCTTGGGGTTAATTAAATATTAATTTTTGGTGTCAACTGACTCCGGTGGGATAAGCTCAGAAGACAGTGCAGAAGTGGGCTCAGGACAATTGATTTAGTGACTTCAGTGGGGATGTGTAGTCCCTGTTTCCAACCATTCGGAAAGAGACAGACTTATTGATCTATTTGGAGCCCAGGTAAGGAATGGAAGGTGCCCAGGGGACATAGTTTGTAAGCGTAACAGTCATCGCCATATACTGTTCGCTAGATCTACAGCCAGGTAATATAATGATGGTCTCTTCTGGAAGCCTTGATGCTCTCCAATAATAGTAATAATAATAATAATAATAATAATAATAATAATAATAATAATAATAGACCTAGAGAAGCCATCCAATATGGATGAGCTATTGTATATCCATTTATTCCAGCTCCGATTGTATTTTTACCTTAACCATAGCAGAAAAATCATCATTTATCTCCTTTCATTTTGCCACCTCATCTGAATAAAAACTGAGGAGGGTGGGATAACTAAAGATTAGAAATTGGGTTATTCGAGCATGAGAGACGCAAAAGGGACGCGTTCAGCAAGATGGGGAGAGGGGAATGCGTGTACCGGAGATCGCTCCTGGGACGTCCAAGGAACGACATCATTCTGTTCCCAACTGCAGGATAAACCCAAGGGCACTGTTCCTTTTCCAGGGCCCACTGGCTTTCATTTATTTACGCCATAGAGTATTTTGAGGTAACATTTAGTAGATATTTAAACACTATCAAGGCCGTCCAATTAAACCCCAAATAAACTAAAGGCCGATGAACTTAAAATATACTTGCTGGTTGCCCTGGCCGGTGTGTAGCTCCATGGTCAGAGCTTAGGCCCATGCACGGAAGAATTGCGGGTTTGAGTCCCAGCCCCGGTTGATGTGTCTCNGCTCCATGGTTAGAGCTCAGGCCCATGCACGGAAGGGTTGCGGGTTCGAGTCCCAGCCCCGGTTGATGTGTCTCTTTCATAGCAATGTTTCTCTCTCTCTCTCTCTCTCTCCCCCCATCCTCCCTCCCTTGCACTCTCTCTAAAAATCAATGGAAAAAATATCCTCGGGTGAGGCTTAACAAAAAAATATATATGTATACTTGCCGGTAATAGAATTAATGACAATAAAACTTCATACATATTAGGGAATATTTGACTCAGTGCATGACAAGGTAACTCGAGATCAATGCAACTGAATTTTATTATTTTTTTTTATATAACCCAAGGACTGAGGATATTTTTTCCATTGATTTTTAGAGAGAGTGGGAGGGGGAACGAGGGGAGAGAGAGAAACATCGATGTGACAGAGACACATGCCCCGACTGGGAGCCACGACTGCACCTGCCACCCAGGTACATGCCCTCGATCAGGACTCGGGCCCTCGAATCATACACGCCAAATGTCACGATGGGTACTTGCGCCAATAGTTTCACTGCGTACTCTCCCCTCCAGGGACTCCTGTGTTTGCCCACAGCACACAGATTTAACGCCGATCAATGTCCCTCCCTTCTCTCCCCTTCCCCACCCAATAAATCATCTGTAGCCAAGAAGGCCTAGGTATCCGCTTAGAGACGTACCCCGGCATGTTTTATTTAACGTATTCAGGAGCTTCACTATCAAGAAAACAATGTTCCAACCTGAATGTCATAGACAGTGAAGGGAGACAGGTCTCGCAGAAGGAGAGACCCCGGCACATCCATTCCCGTCTCGTAGAGCCGATTATTTACATAGACGGAACACGCAGCGACAACGCCATTTGGGTTTGAGGGAGGCGGCCAGATGACACGTGCAGCTGTGCTGTTGATGATGACAACCTCTGGAGGGAGCATGCCCCGAGGCTCTAGAATTAAAGGGAAAAAACTGAATAAACTCCAGCTGTCTCGGAAAAAAAAAACACACCACACACTTATTAAACCAAATGCAGATTAGCACTTGGGTTGAGCGAAGGCTCCGCTGCTTATCGGCTTCCCTCTGATGAAGTCATCACGGGCTGTGGTCCTCTGTAAATTGGCTTATTACACTCGCAGTTAGAGACCCTCAGAATTGGTGGTAAAAGGCTTCCTACCAACAGGATAGAGCTAATCTTCAATGCTATGTGACCAGTGGGATATGATGATAAATTATTCACCTATTGGCACCACTAACACATATCTATCATTTGTCTCTCCTCCTGTCCCTTCACTTCCCATCTCCCAGGGGGGAGGGAAAAAAAAAAAAAAAAAGAGAGAGAAAATTTGCTCCTTAAGCAAAAAATAAAACTCAGATACACCGAGGCTGGTGGAACGAGAAAAATCATTTGATGCTCCTAGCTTGTAACTCCAGCAATATGAAGCAATAATGCAATATTGTCATTATGTAAATGATTTTGGATGTTGATTACCGTGGGTAATGATGAAATCCAGCGTCGGAAAAAAATCTCGCTTGGCGTTAAATTACACAATTATTCGAGCGTGTCAGAAATAACTATGCGGAGGCCTATTTTTATCTTAAGGGCCCATCTTAACCGGGTGAAAAATCGTCCTTGTGATCCATCCCCTTTTATAAACAAAAGGTGCCGACCTTTGGCACCGGGAAGGGAAATGGGTCCCTCGCTTAAAGCGCTCTCCTAATGACCTGGAACACTTGCTTGGGAGGTAATGATATTATAATGTTTATAATGAGACTTGATAAAGCCAAAAAGATGAGAGAGACCATTCCGAACTCATTTCAGATTCACAAGCTGCTTCTCGGGTTTCCAACCCCCCCCCCC